GCACGCAGTTGACACTGAAGCACAATCAGGTGCTCCAAGCTTCAAATATTTGTTGGTTGTTACGGTCCAATCTCCAGAGCCCAAAAACAGTATTGGTATGCTGTTTCTAAACTGACAAAACTCCAACACTATTTAGTCTGAAAATGTGGCATATCTGATCATATACATTTCAGTCAGCAATGATTATCAATACACTTCAGTATAAGCAAAAGTGTACCTTTTTTCCTTAGACATAAGAATAATTAACTGATGGCCTATTTTAAAAAATGCATTTTTATTTGTAGTGTTTCATTATGGATTTAAAAACATTTTTTTCCATGCATTCATCAATTTCTACTACTAATCTGAGTTAACAGTCTAAGACCTCTCTATCCAGTTCTCCAAGGGGGCACTGTGGTGTTCTCAAGCAAAGCAAGGGCCATCATCTCTTCAGCATGTCCTAGGATCTTCTACCAGTTGGGCATGCTGGAAACACCTCAGAGGCATCCTTAAAAGAGACTGAGCCCCTCACCCCACCACTAAGGGAGGGAACCCATTTTGAACACTTCTATCTGCAGTCTCATCCTTTCAATCACTATCCAAAGCAAGTGGCAATAGGGGTGGGAATATAGATTGACTATTACGATTGTAAAATATTAAATATTAAATATTACAAATAAAATGTATAATTTAAATCTTAAGCCTCCTATTAACCACAAACCTGTAAACAATGAGGCTAAAACGTGTACGGCAAAAGCATGGTCGACACAGCCAGGCTTTCTTAAACCGAAAACTCTGATCCTTCTGCTTCAGAGAGGAATAACAGCTAAATCATACTCTGAGCTTGATGTTTGGGAAAAAAATAATTAGGAAAATTACAATGCATACAGCTGATTTGAAATTTAGAACTCTGAACATAACCTGCTTAAGGTTATGTGTTCAGCATATTTACTATAGTGATATATTATAGAAAAATAGCCAAGGGCCCTGTGATAGGCTGGCAACATGTCCAGGGTGAGCCCTGCCTGTTGCCTGCTTGTAACCCCGCATTGAAAAAAAGATGGATGGATGGATGTAGCCAAGTTAAAAACAAAAAGAGAAAAGAAAGAATAAACTCACAAACAAAACAAACTCGCCTAAGCCCATTAATCTCAATGTTGAGTACACCTCTTTGATCAAAGTCCACTTTTTTACCATTTCACTTATCTTAATCATACTTTGGGAAAACTAACATACTAAGTCCTAAAAAAATCCCAGAAATTTCATCACAATGTTTTTACTACTGACAGCAACAAGGCCCGAATAACATGTTAGGGTGAGGCATATTGGCTGGTCAGGTAACTGATTATTCAACGAGTTACACCTGCTGAGCTACTGAATGACTGTGGAATTATCTGGGCGGGGCAATGGTTTAGCCCAACAGGTTGAGGTGGCGACCCATAAGCTATAAGGTCTTTGCAGAGGCTCTGGTTCGAACCTGCTCCAAGCTATTTTCTGTCCAGAATAACTGGTACAAAATACACACATCTACTACCTGTCATAGTTTTGTTTGTTAAATCGGTGCTAAGAAACAGTGATTCCAAAACAAATTAGTCAGAAGGGAGTGTAGATCATTTTCATTTGGACAGTAACGAGCTGAGGTTTGCTGTGTGGAAAAATAAGCTAGACTGCCCTCCAGTGACTGGCTGCTGTAACAGCTGAAGTAAGAGACTAAACATCTACAGCCTTGAATTCGTCAAGACAAAAACACGCATATAGTCCATAAGAAGAAATGTGTTCATTTCTTACCAAACAAAGTCAGTTTGAGTATTCTACTACACTGGATGGCGAATGAGAGGTCAGAGCTGTCAAAAATGGTAATGAGGTCATCATCTGTAAACAGGAAATGGGGACAAAAGATGATTAACTGCACAGCAAATTGTCACTTTCAAAGAAAATATGCTGAGATTACCATCATGAAGTACACTTGTCACCAGAGGATGACCGGACCCTCACAGGCCTTTTCTGTGTCCTGACTCACCTTCATCCTTGTATTTGATAGTGACCTCGTCGTTACTCTGCAGCTTTCCCCTGAAGACACGCTGCATCATGAGCACCAGCTCATCATAGGTAATGTCTTCATTATGGATGGGAATGCGTCGGATGTCGTCACCCAACTGGGCTTTGATGATCAGCTTCCCGCTCAGGTCCAGCTGGCCGTTCATGGTGCCGTCTGACCTCTTCTGCTCCCAGCACTTGACAAAGGTAGAAGAGAGGTGTTCACACTTTCAGTGCAGCCCTGAACTCTTCTAGGCATTACCCAACAGGGAGTGACACACAGTCACACTGAACACTGGCCACTCTTTAACCTTCCAGCTCCTTAGTACAAAGTAGGGTTGTATAATTACTCAAATTTGATTTGCAATTACGATTTATTCTACAGTTTTTAGTGATTATCAAAGGCTAATTCAGATAAAATAATTATTGCGCCACATTATATTTTTATTTCCTTTTAACCCTCTTAAATCATTCTCTGCTGGGAAACTATCCAGAAACTTCCCAAACTGCATGTGTAAACAGAGCTAGCGTGAAAAGCAAAACATATCACACACCAAGGCAGTTTATTTGCATTCATTTTTATAATCTCTTCTCTGCAGGGTTCAAATGGAAATTTATTGAAAATGCAAGGATAGCAGGAGCAGGCTAAAAACAGTAACATGGAAAAATGTGTCATAACATTTTTTTTTTTTAACTGTGTGAACATAAGAGCGCAAAAACTACTTAGGAGGTATGCATACTGCAGTGCCAGGGCACCACTAGTCAGCAAAATGGCATTCACAGCAACATGTATGTCTAGCTTATAGAACAGAATATATAATTATTAGTTAAGCCCTTTTTAAAACTAGGTCAGAATAAGTAGGTCAACAGTATAGCGCTTTTTCAAGTCACAACCAGTCATCCACCCATTCACGCACTGGTGATGGCCACAGCCACCCTGGGGCGTACTGACAGAGGTGAGGCTGCCAGACACCGGGCCCTTTGATCACCACCAGTAGGCAACGGGTGAAGTGTCTTGCCCAAGGACTCGAACTGGCAACCTTCCGATTACAAGGCGAACTCCCAACTCTTGAGCCACGATCGAGCCATAACAGCTGCTGTGAGAACAGTCCTATGATTACATTAATATGCCGAAATTAACAGCTTGTCTTCACTGTCACAAAGCTCTCTTAATGTTGACTGAGGCCTGTTTGAAATTACACACAGAACAGGAGCGCTCCTCCCTTGACTTAAATGAAAACCATGTCACTCCAGAGTCTAAGGGTCAAACATCTTCATGTGAGGTGGCACCGGCTATAGAATAACAGACCTCCTTGTAGACTTTGACCCAAAATATCATCTCTTCTGATAGGAGAAAAAAGCTTTCAAAGCCATTTGGCGAATCATATAAATGATTACAAAGTAATCGCAAATTAAAACCCATTTTACTCATATCATACCGGTAAAACAGATATTTCTTTGGGGGGAGGGGGTATGTAATAAGAGGCCTGCACTCATTAAACAAGGTGGGGTTTACACACTGTGTTAAGTTAACGTAAACCTCATCGTTCGTGTACAGTCACGAGTTGGATTAACTCTGACGTTATCTCCTGATGTTGTAAGCTCAGCAATATACTCTTTCTGTCCGGGCCAGATGAGTAATTGGCTGGATGCTAGGGATTGGGTGGTAGCTAACGTTTAGCGTACAGTAACATTTAATGAGTACGACTGGGGGAAAAAAATAAACCGAAACGGAGTCTATCAAGTTAATTTCTAGAGCTCTGGAAACAAATCTTAAAATATCACAGAAGCGAAAGTAAAACTTTTATATAACGGCAAAAGTCGCAGTTATCTATCAGTGGCCCATCAACAAACAGGACTGACTGCTAACGCTTTTTAGGCCGTTTCACCACTGCCATTGCAGTGTTTACTGTATACGTTACGTACACTTAAAAAAATGAATGATCTGTTTAATTTCCTGATGTATATCTGAAAAAGCTGGAATAATAACACTTAGCTTTTCCTATATGACAATGAGTCGTCAACAAGCCGTTTCCTGTGTAACTTATAACAGCTCTACCTATAATAGAGCTAGGTAAGAAGGTATAAACTGATAATTTCCCTACTTCACCTTACATAGACTCGATCAGATCATTAACTGACGAATCTTTTGTTAAACAACTCCCTCTGTATCAGTCTCGACACCTGTTTGGACGAGCTAGCGTAGCGTTAGCTCCCTGCGTAGCTAGCTAGCACCACAACAGTCCGTAATAGCATAGAAACTGCTTTGTAGTTAAATTATAACATAACTCGAAGTAATGTTTTTACCTGAACCAGACGACTTGACCACGATGTATTTCACGGGTTTCCCCAAACCGTGAAAATCTAATCTATTAGCTAGCCTAGCTAGACCCGGGCAGCAGCATCAGGAAGTGTCCTCCAGACTGTCAACGTCAACCAGTACGTGGCATTCAGTGTGCGCAGCCGCAGACCGACTGGAACAAAGTGCGTTGAGAGCCTTCACAGAATTTCAGCCATCACCTTGAGCAGCGTTTATTTATTTACCTTTTGAACACCGGATAGCTAAGCACGCACAGAGTCTGCAGTAAAGCGAAGCTGGTGTTCTCGTGCTGCAACAGAATATCTTAAAAACAGCAGTGCATGCAGATACTGTGAACGCGCCCATTACAAAAACCAAACAAGAAAATATCATAAGAGGTAGACTTAACATACTGAACAAATAAACACATGGCAAAGCATATTGTTTAACAGTTTGTAAGTGTGTGTGTGTGTGTGTATGAATAATTGCTTCAATACTGTAAGTATGAACATTACATTTTCTTTAAATCATAGGAAGACTTTTTTTTGAGAGAGACACCAACATTATTCTTTTTTTCTTTGATTGGAGAAGGGCTGAAGTCACAGTGACTGGACTCCATTTTTATCGCTGGTGCTTTGGATCCCAATCCCAACCTAACTGTGTGTGCAAGAAATCAATCTGCTGCTTTAAATAAATAAGTTTATTGAAATGAACAATCATTAGCTTTAAATGAAAATCAGGGATGCAGGATGAATCATATTACATAATCATGAAGACTAAGGAGACATAACTCATGTATTGAAAAAAAACCACAAGTTTTGTCCATTCACAGCTTTAAAAAAAACTCCATTATTTGTTTTTCTTCTCCTGAGTAGCATCAAACCATGAATCCAGCAGTTTTTTCATGTAGTACAACTGCCAGCCGTGCACTTGAGCAGCAACCACTATAGCGACGTATGCAGCAGTCACTGCAGAGCAGCCAAAAATGAAGCGGAAGGCTTTTCCTTGACGGAAGAGCTGCTTTGCTACAGGAAACATCTCCATGCCACCATATATAAGAGGTGCAAAAGAGAACAGCCCTGCACTGATCATTGACAGGACCAGGTAGCTGATGTTGTTCTTTGGGAGGGACAGGCTGCTGAAGAGCAGAGGGAAGATGCTGAGCAGATAGGGGTACTCCCACTGGTACGGCATGGACACAGTGTCCTGTGACACAATGTTGAAGTGGCTGACGGTCACTTGCGCCGCCACCAGCAGCCAGATGAGAAAGTGGACCACGTTTAACTTCCGTATCTCTGACTTCAAGGAAGCGCTGCAAAAGAGAAAAACAGACCATCAGACTGCAACTCAGAGATAATGTTCATATTTATTGACAAATGCCAAACATAGATACTTGCTTCATCTGGTACTGTGGGGCCATCCTTAGTTTGTTTTTCATGTTTGGAGAAACCTGTTAATGCACAAGACAAATAATGTAACATGCAAATGACAGCAACCAAAGAGCAGACACTCCTAAAAAAATGGTGATTTCATCAAATTTCATTGGAATATTTAAAATCCGGAAGACAATCAGGGTATTAAAAGGCATTTAATATTTAAAGCTGCAAAAGGACAGTTTTTTACATTCGAAAGCTGGAACTAACTGGTTAACCAGGCAATGTGACAGATTTAACCTGCCAATGTCCCAGTGTGCGAATAATCAGCCTGGTAAATGCAAGGACACCGTGAGGAGAAAGATAATAGAGGATACAGATTCAGCGATAGTCATAATAAACGTCACCGTTTCCCAGCTCTCACAACATGATGCAAACAGCGATTCAAACAGAAAACGGCCGTTTTCGCGCAGACTAGTCGGGCTGGGATTTGAAGCATTAGCTGCTACTGGCTAACCTAGTTTAGCGTTTACTTTGGACAGATACGTTTTGTACGTTAGTCTAGCATTTTTATTTATTTATTTGTTATCACAGGTAACGATAGTAGCAGAGTGAACTTAGCTTACCGATGATGCTTACACCTGACTTCTTCAACGTTTGGCCGAGCCCCTTGTTTAAATTTCTATCCAAAGGAGATGTGCTGAGTGAACATCAACGACAGCTTTAAGCATGCGCACTGACGACTGACAGCCCTCGGCAGCATCAGCATCTTCTTTTCACGTCACAATCAATAGTTCTGTTATCTGATACTCTTTATTTGGTAGTATTGGTTAAGTTAATTAAGTTGATTAAGCATGATTGTCGCACTCTACAGGGCTAAAATACCAATTTATAATGTTTTTCTGCAAAAACGAAAAAGACGCTGACTTTAAGAAATTTGATTACATGTAAAAATTTCAGATAATTTTGTTACATAAGTACAATTGAAAACGTAAAATTGAATGGAAATTGGTCAAATGAAATGATTGACTGATTATGATTGATTGGTTATCTAAATATAAATTATCTCATATAAATATTTACAGACTGGAAACCTGTCTAGAGCGTAACCTGTCTCTGCGGTTTTTTTGTGTTTGTTTTATTGTTTTTAAGTCACACTATTAGATCGAAATTCAGTGCTACAAAGCATAATTAATATCGATGTTGATTTTCAGGCAACAGTTCTTGATGAATACACTTTAGGCATCCTGATATATGCAAGGCTACATTTAGTAAATTATATTGATACGATGTAAAGTTTATTAAACCATGAGGGTCAAGTGGGTCAAATATGTTAAGCCTATAAAACCAGATCTCATGGAGGTGGTAAGTAAATGGCAGTGTGATTTTTTTTTTTTTTTACTCATATTTCTCTTCAAACTTTGATCTCTTCCAAAAAAAATACACATTTTCAGGATAGACAAAGGATATGACACTCTTGTTGTTCATTTGTCCTTTTAAACTGCTTTCTGAAAACAAAGAATTAAGAAATGTTTCACCACATATGTTGTCTTAGGTTAATGAATAAATACTGCTACTATGGCTAGTGCTTACTGCTATTCACCTGCTTTGCATAATGGAATATTATCAAGTTGTTGGATTTAACATTATTTAACAGGAGTTTAATGAGATATGTGTGACAATCCTATCAATTTTTTTTTTATAAAGGAGTCTTCCAGTGCTTTCTTATTGTTTGCTCTTTAAATGTGCCATAACAGCTTTAGTCAAATGGGTTTCAGTGAAGCTCAAGATGATATCTGTGGCAATTCTTTTAATCAAACCATTTTTATTTAGAAAAACATCACAGACAATAACAACAAACTTGAAACATTGATACACATAATTTGATTACAATGACAATATTGGCACCAAAGTCATTATCATTTCCCGTGTTTGTTTGTTTTTGTTTTTTTGCTGTTTATTGCATGCAAGTCATCAGCAGTAAAAATTACAACAACAACAACAATAACAATAAATTAATGACATAACTGTTGTTAATCAATTGCCGCAGCATTCAACACTTGCTTTAAGTCCATTAATGAATACAGAAAAACATGTAAAGGAAACACACTGCAGATACAGGAAACTTAATTTGGTCATCGCTCTTTTAAACATCTATAAACTGTTTTCCACATATTATGCCATCTTATTTGTAATTATACTCATAACAACTATAATGCACTGTGATATGCTTCTGTGGAAAAAATAATAATATGGCCTGCAAAACAGTCAAAGAATATAATCAGTTCATTTTTATGTAAAAGCAGTAAATAAAAATATTAACGGGTAACACTGGTTTTGACTTTAAAGGAGGACTCGGCGACTTGCAGTTCGGAGACTTGTTACCTATCAATGGGATTAGCTGTGGAATATTGTTTTGCACTATAAACCATCTGTAAACATGCAACTTTGTGTTTGTTTTCACGTAACACTGACATATAATTCAACTGTTTAGTTGGTGATAAAGAATTTTTGTTAAGTGTAAAATGTTAGGATGATAATGTACCAATATTTATTAGAGTATACTGAGTGGTTTTAATAGATCAGAGCAAAACTGTGTCCTATTTCCAATTCTAATACAGCACAATAACCACAAACCTACCTCAGAAAAATAAAACATAAAACTTATGATACATTCTTAAAATTTAAACCTCACTCAAGACCAATAATCAGCCAACAACACACTCAGGTTATTGACTTAATTTTGACAATCTATGTGTTGTGTAGCGTCTTTCTAAAGAAGAGTACACTAACTGCTGTTTCAGCTCACCAACCAGTACCAGTTGTCCCTTATACATACAATTCCTTCACTCAAGTCTTGTTCTTAACAGAACATTAGACTTAAAATGATCTTTACCCCCAGGTTTAGTCCTCTGCAACCCAATGTAGATACCAACACAAATAGAAATATATTTATCTAAAAAATAAACAAACAAAAATAAAACATGGCAATGTGCAGACTGCTGTAATGCAAACTTCATTGCTCCAATCTGAACTCTCATTTGAAAGAGATTTTTTTTCATACTTATTGTTATTACTAGAGAAAAGTCATTGATTATACAAATATATGCATGCAAAAAAATATATTTCCTGTTGAAATGAATGCTATCTTACTATTTTATACTTTCACATTATATGTTGCCACATGGGGTAGCTGCCAATTTTAAAGACATACAGGGACCAAATTTGACACAGCTGCAACAGTGTTACTATTATTATACCATCTCTTTTTACCCTCATTTACTTATACTTCCCTTCTATGTTTATACTAATAACTTCCACTCTTAAAATATGCGCATGAAAGTACCTTTGTAGCCATTTCTAAATTCTGTTTTTTTCTTCTTCTTTTTTTACATTCTTTTATACCATCCAGTGCTGTAAAAGAAAGATTTTTGCTCTCCCAATTAAACCATCTCTTTGGCTTCGTACAGATTTAATTTGCCAGATTTAATATCTTCTTTAAAATATATTATTTTGTCTTGTCTGTTGACGACACTATTTGCTTGCTGACTTTGCATTAAAAGTACGCTTAGTGTAAGGTAATCTGTGTTTTCTGTCATACAAAAATATGCTCTTGTGTTCTTCTTACCAAAGCCTCTCTCTCTCTGCAGTTTGTGGTTTTACATTGGATATAACAAGTACCCAGTGAAGGAGGAATGCACGTACTGTCCAGCATAAAGTCCTGAAGCCTGATCTGAGGGCAGCTGAATATACACAGTGTCCCCTAGCTGTAGAGGTAATACTGCACTCCCTGATGCTTGGTCTAGGAAACCCTTTTTGTATTCATCATATGTATACATTACAGGCTCATTGTTTCTCATTAAAGCAACCCAAACATTAGTTCCTTTGCAATGAATGTGGTAGGCAAAGTAATAAATACCAGGTACTTCACAAGTGAAAATTCCTGTCTGGGGGTTGTAGTTTTGGCGACCATTGTACAAAAGCTTGTCAAAGATGACTGGAGTGCCGACAGGTGGAAATGGAGTCATTGCTGTAGCTGTGAATGCTGGCATTTCCAGCCCACTGGGACCCATTACTTCTGCCCCATTGCCTCCATACTTGCCCTTCTTGCCATAACTTCCAGCTTTAACACCGTCTAGTCTTGGGCCCATCTCAGAAAGCACTCCTGCCATTTCAGGTGACACACTAGGTATTCCAGGTGGACCTGGTGGTCCAGGAGGGCCAGGCAGACCTCGTTGCCCAGGGAGTCCTGATGGGCCTTCTTTTCCTGGGGGTCCTATGGGACCAGGTAGACCTGGACCTCCTTCAACTGCAATGCCTGGTGGACCAGGAGGACCATAATCTCCTTTTGGTCCTTGAAGACCAGGGGGCCCAATTGGTCCTGCTGCACCATCCATTCCTGGGATTCCTTTAGGGCCTTGGGGCCCCACTTCACCTGGTTCACCTCTTTCTCCTTTGGGACCAGGAGGTCCCGAAGAACCAGGAACACCAGGTAGACCTTCAGGTCCAATGTCTCCTTTGGCACCAATTGGTCCTGGTGGGCCTCTTGGTCCTGGCTCTCCCTGGTCTCCTGGCAGGCCATCCTTTCCAGGTAACCCTTGAGGACCAGGCTCACCCTGGGCTCCATCAAAACCTTTAGATCCTTCTTCTCCACAATCTCCTTTAGGACCAGGTGCACCCATAGGCCCCGGGGGTCCAGTAGGGCCTGGATGACCTTCAGGACCTTTTGGTCCAGAAGGTCCAGGCGTACCAGGTAGACCGCTGTAACCCTTATCTCCCTTTGGTCCAGGTGATCCAGGTGGCCCACTCATACCTTTATCACCCTTTGGTCCTGGGAGTCCCGGTTTACCAAATCCTGGCAATCCTGGCTTTCCTGGCAAACCTGGTGGTCCTGGAAGACCTTTCACACCTGGCATGCCTGGTTGTCCTGGTAGACCATTTTGACCTGGCTTCCCTTGACCAGGTAGACCTGCTGGGCCAGGCTGTCCTTTTTCACCTGGTGGTCCAGCTGGCCCTTGATGTCCTGGATGTCCCTTTTCTCCTGGTGGTCCCTGTGGTCCTGGTGTGCCATTCAATCCAGGTTTACCAAAACCAGGCAATCCTCTTGGACCAGCAGGCCCAGGGAGCCCTGGAAGCCCTTTGTGTCCAGGTGGTCCTGGCAACCCCATCCCTTTGTCTCCTTTGGGTCCCGGCAGTCCTGGTAAACCTGGAAGACCTTTGTGACCTGGCTCACCTTTGGGCCCCATTTGACCTGGTAAACCTTGAACACCTGGTTTACCTATGCCTGGAAGTCCAGGTGGTCCTGGGGGTCCTTGAGGCCCTGGCTGTCCAGGTGGTCCTTCTTCACCCCTAGGGCCCATTTCTCCTTGAGGGCCAACAATACCAGTTCCTCCAGGTTTTCCAGGAAGCCCAGGAAAACCTGGTTTCCCAACTCCTGGAATTCCCGGTGGACCAGGAGGTCCAGGCCGTCCTGCAGGTCCTGGCAACCCATTCCCTGGAGGCCCAAGAGGTCCTGAAGGTCCCTCTGGTCCAGGTGGCCCAGGTGGCCCAGCAGGGCCTGGCTCTCCTTGGGGAATTCCCTCAGCACCACTAGGAATTGTCTGGCCTGTGAGAAATTAGTACATTATTCACACAGAAATAATAAATCTAAAAATTCACAGAGACATATTGTTTATGAAGTTTTAAAATGACACATACAAATGAATATTTGTTTCAATTTCTTTAGTTTAATAT